GTGGGCAGCAGGGAGTTTTTCCTTGATCAGGTAGACACTACCCACTGGGGTTTGCTACTTTCCTCTTTGGGGCTGATAACTTCTGTAGTTGTGTGAGGCACTGGTGCAAACCACAGTCTGTCACTTCTGGGACTCTGGAGAGAGTCTTGCCCTCTTCTCTTTTTGTGGTGCATTATGCTTGTGGTATTTGGCCTTTGCTACGGCTCTGAAGTGCGGTGAGAGGGCTGGGAGGGACTTTGTGGCCCACAGAACATAGAATAGATGTTTTGCAGGTTCCTCTGGACTGAAGTCCCATTTGCTTGTCTTTGCAGGGGAACTGTACATGCTGACTGTCCTGCTTCTGAGTCCCTCTGTTACTGTGGTCTTTTAGTGTGTCATTGATGTGATTCTGATTTGATTGTTGCATAGATTTATTTATTGTTCAAGTCAATATTGCTAAACACCACTTGATTTTCAGGGGAGAGATAGGTATACTTGAGTTCAGTTTTATTTTTGTTACCAAAACGTCGAAATCTGAGATCAAGCCATACCTCCTTAAACAAGCAACATGTGTACAGCACCTGGGACAAACATCAAATGATCAACCTCATACAATAGAACAGTTTTCCTGAAATTAGCCTTTGGTTCTTAGACCCAAAGCCATGAATAACACCCATTCCCTATGCTCAGAATGTAAAATATGAGCTCCAGGACAAATGATAATAAATGAGTCCAAAGGAATTCTCCCCTCCAGGAAATGATTTAAGAAGTAAGTCTGCCCCATCAGCTTCTCCGGGGAATGTGATGTAAGTGTAAGTGAAGTACTATCACAATAACTGTGTGTGCATATTCCTACCAGCTCTATTAGCTGGAGAAATGTAAGTCGGGGTCAAGATGACTGTACCCTAAGGCTGACATTGCATGTAGTTTTGGCAGGAAGATCTGTTTTGAGTATCTTGATCTCTCTGTAGATGTTAAAACAATCCTGCTGGTGGTTGAGGACCTGTCCTGTTACCTATCACTGCCTCTGTTGCTTGCTGCAAAAGGATGATACAGAGATTCAGTCAGAGAAAAGAAGATAGAGACGGAGAGTATAGAAAGGGAAGCAACTCCTCATAACCTGCTGTGATTACTGATTATGGGAGAAGCACCCAGGGTACAAAATCAGCCCAGAAGGACAGAATAAGTGATGATGCTGTGTATTTGTGAGCATTTTTTTCCCTTTCCAGAAGCTGAAGATCTTTGGGAAACTCCTGAGTGACAGAGGTAAGTGAAACTGCCAGTGGGTGGTGCATGGGCATCTCTAATGCTTGCAAATCGAGCGGAGCACTGGCCTTGCCCGTCACATGTATTCTATTTATGCCACAGCAGAGGAAACATTAGCAAAGTATCTTAGAGGAGAAGCCTTTTGTTATACCTACAGCTGCTCCCTTCCCTGTTAGTGCAACTGACACAAAAATAATCACAATAATAAGGATCATGCAGTTAATTGATTCACCATCTTGTGATCACTGCAGCCAATTCGGCCATAGCTTGGTTGCTGCATCTTGTGTTCCTGTGATTTTTCACAAGGAAAGAAACACCTGAAATACCTCAGGACGTTTAAGTTCAGTTCACCTGGCTGCTTCTCTCAACAGCTCACTCTGCTCCAGTTTTTTTTCCATGTCTGCTAGAAGGTCGTATCAAGATGTTGATTTTTTCTTGTGCTGTTCCCCATGGTCAGCGCTGAGGGACTGTATCTGAAATCACTGAGTGAGCTGTGTGTTAAGAAATAGCTCTGGCACTAAAATGTTTAAAATTACTCTTTGTTTCTCTGACTTCTCTCCTCATTTGGATTATCCAAATCTAGATTCCCCCCAGATTTGCCCACAAGATAGAATACTAAGGAAATATTGTTTTGTTTCAGTTGTTTTTTGACGTCCATATTTCTCACATTTCCTGTTCCAATCAAACTGGGTCTGAAATCCTCTACTAACATTACTCCGTTATTCCGGGGATCTGAGAGGGGATTAAAAATAAACAAAGTGCACGTAATGCGTTTCTTGCCATTGGTTCTCTTAGATGAATCGGTAAAAAGTTACTGACATTCGTCTCTTTTCAGATTAAATAGAGGGATCAGACAAAGGGTATTACTAACATGGGTCAAGGTATTAAAAAATGGATGCCTAAATTTAGACTCCTAATTTTGTATTTTAAACCCCTAAATAAGGGCTTGATCTTATGCCCTTTGAAGTCAATGCCAAAGCTTCCACTGAATTCAATCTACAAGATGAAGTCCTAAATTATGGTCAGGCTCTTAAAAGTTCTCAGTGTCCCACAGCTCCAAATAAGTCATCACCCAGCCTCTTTGCAAATAACTCATCTTCCCTTAAGTGCCTAAACGTGGAGCTTGTGCTTTTAGGTATTCCTATTCCATATTTAAAATCCTGCTTGTTGATGCTGTCTTTCTTTCTGTCTCAGGGGCCATAGACATGAGAAAGCCAACAAGGCTAATAAAGAAGTGTAGTCAGGACAGAGATTGATTTGTTTTTTTGGTGAGTGGTGCTTAGCACGAACACTGCAGATTCTATAGCAATCTCAGTATTTATTATGGTGTAATGTTAACATGGAAGGCACATGAATGTCCTTGCTGGTGCCAGAATTCAGCAAGTACATGATCATTTGCACAAACTTAACATACACTGCTCTCCTGGTAACAGGATGTTGGCAGGTGGAAAGATCATAGGATCCAGATGAAACATAAGATGAGATGAGCAATCCTGTAGTGGTAATTTTAGAAGCTGGGTTCTGTACATTATTTACAGTACATTGTGGCTTTAAGAGGATAAGGCTGCCCCTTGGCACTCGTGGATTAAATCTTTTCTGTGAGGTTTCTGTGGGGGACTTAAAGCAGTGCAGCAATTGGAGGGATTTTGTCCATCCAGAGGAGTGTTAGAACTGCAAATTACTCACAGTAAAGCTACCTTCATTCATAAAACACTCACTTAGCAGGCACCTAGGACCTTCCACCAAAGAAAAAGTACCGAGTGAGTTATCTGCTTGCTGCTGGTCTGAAGTGCAGAGGCCTGGCACAAAGAGGGAGCTGTTAACAGTGAACTGGGGCAGAGTCGGAAGTGGTTTCTGCCTCCAGGAACTTTAATTTGGCTTTACTTTCAATTAATGAAATATCCCCTCCTTTTCAAGGGGGAGGCTGAAGTCTCCCTGTCTCTTGGAAGACATTTTTGGCAATTGCATTCTGAATATGGGAAACTCCAATTATTTTGGATGGGTAATTGTTTCCTCAGAAACTCTCTGCAACAATTTGTTAAAAAACTATAGAGAAAGCAAAAGAGAAGGGATTATTTTGCAATGTTTGAACAACACCCACCACTCCTCTGTAGAAACGTAATCCCTGAGGGGAAAGGGATTATATCCTCCTCCAGGCTTTTCACTGGGCTGGATTTCTCCCCTTGCCTAGAGGGAAGGCTGTGGGCACAATGGGTGTGACTCTACATCTGGGGCAGCAGAGGGGCTGGATGGGAACTGCTCCTTGCTCAGGCAGACCTGTCACTCATCTCCTAGCCTTCCTCAGGATTAGTGTGACTAGGGCAACATCCTCACACACTGCACCAAGGGGTGAGAAAAAAATCTTTAAAAATTAAACAAAGGGAAGAACAAGTCTAAGGTCTACTGAAAGCAAAGAGTTTTATTTTGGGGTTTTTTGTTTCATGTGTTTCTCTCAGCCAGCAGGTGCCTCTATAGAGCCAGTGCTGTGCCTGTGTCAGTAGGAGCCTGTGGCACAGCACTGGAATACCTGCTTTCGAATGATAATACAGCCTTTTCTTTCTCTGGTGTCTTTTTCTCCTTCCCCTTTCTCCAGCCCATAGTGAGCCCCAGGATCTGTCAGTCTGGACTTCCACTCTATCTGCCACCTAAAGTCCTTAGAGGATGGTAGCAGGAGAAAGATTTATATATGTTGACACACACACATTGTTACTATGTATGCCATATGAGGAAATTTTGCATGTGACAGGAGCAAAGGAGCTCTGTTGGGGAATACCTGCAACTAAACCCAGCGAGCAAAGCTGCCTCTTTGACCTCCAAATACCTTCCCAGAGAGCAGGGTGGGGTTTGTGATGCAAAACCTTCACCCCTTTCTGTACAACACCCTTCTGCACACCAGGGCACCACACAGCCAGCACAGGCAGGCCTCTGAGATAAGGAGGGGATGGCACTGGGTTAAGAGAAATAAACTCCAAATGAGGATAATCCTCGCTTCAGCCCTTTAACACATAGGTGCTAAGAAATCACGGTATCCGAAAAGTCAAGCCTTGGGGGAAGGGGGGGGGGGGCGCAAATGATTGGCTGTGACTACAATTTGTCCCCCGCTGCTCCCTCTCCCCAAATGGCTCTGCTGGACTTTGGAGTAATTCCCACGGGCAAGGTGAATTTTGACCTGAACATGCATCCATCGGAAAGGCAGAAAAGGTGGAGGAAGCAGGGCCCGTGGGGCGGCCGCGGTGGGAAGGCAGGGCAGAGAGGCTGGGGGCGAAATGCGCGAGCCGCGGGGGCTGCGGTCCCCCGTGGGGCGACGGCGGAGGGCGGCGGAAGGGGGTACGCACCCCTCTACCTCCGTGGCCTTTTCTCGCAGCTCAGAGATGGGAGGGGAGAGGGAGGGGAATCGGCAGGGAGGGGTGGGACTTTGTCGGAGCGTCTCTCCCCGCGGCCGCGCCGAGCAGTTGCAGAGCGCCGGCGAGCGGTCGGTGTGGCGGGCGCTGCGCGGAGCGGGGCTGCCGCCGCGCCGGGGGCGAGGAGCGCACGGCGCCGGCGGGGGACAGCGCGCCGCGGGAGCAGCCCTCCCCGGGCACCGGGACCTGCTGTTGGCTTGCCGCCTTGCTTTATCCTCTCGTTTAATTTATTTTTCCCCACTTATACTTTGATCCGCTGGGATTTTTTTTCCTCCCTTTCCTACAGAGCCTCTCCACGCCCCAGTTCCCTCCCTCTCTAGCCAGTTTGGATTTTTTTCTTCCCTTTTTTTTTTTTTTTTTTTTTCTCCCGATATATTTCTTTTCTGTTTTTTTTTTTTTTTTTAAAGCGGTGGACAGAGTGAGGGAAAGAGAGACAGAAACAGGGAGGAGAGGAGGAAAACGCTCTGTTCGTCCCCTCCGCCGCCACCACCACCCCGACTTGCGGAGAGGGGTCGGGCCGAGCGGCAGTGGGATCAGCCCCTTTCCCCTGGGGAGGCGACCCCGGCTCGGGGAGCCGCCGGAGACAGCCGCCGCGAAGAGGGGGCGCAGGAAAAGAGATGCATTGAAAGTTTCCGCGCAAACTTTGGCGTGAGTGCGCGAAACCGAGCGAGCGCGGCGCGGGTGCCTGCCTGCCCCGACGCGGGGAGAGCGGCCGCGGACGGGCGCCGCTGTGGAGCTCGGACTGCCCGGCGGCGGGGGCCGGGCGTCGGCGGGGCGGCCGCGGAGCCTGCGCTCGGCCCGGCGGAGCGCCCACGGAAACCAGCAGCGGGGGCCGGCGGAGAGCCGGGCTTATGGAGGGGTGAAACCGGAGACCCCGAAGAGGAACCCCCCTTCCCCCGGAACCTTTCGCAGCGCCCGGCCGGCGGCACCCCAGGAGGCGGCGGCGGCGGGCACGGAGGAGGCGCGGGCGAGAGCGCGGCGGGGCGGCGGCGGCGGCGGGGCGGCGGCGGCGAGGCGGAGCGCGGCGGGCCCCGCTCCGCGGCGTGCGCCGGCAACCATGAACTTTCTGCTCACTTGGATCCACTGGGGGCTGGCGGCGCTGCTCTATCTCCAGAGCGCGGAGGTAAGCGGCGGGACGGGGGCTTTTGTGCCACGCGTACCGGAGGGGATGGGAGGGCAGACGGCCGAAAATACTTTTTTCCTCCCTCTCTTTTTGTTTTCTCGCCCCCCTTTGCCTCCCACCTGCTCGGTGCGGTGCGGCCACTCTGTCGGCGCGGGGTGCGGGTGGGTGCCCGCAGCGCAGACACGTGTGCGTGCGGTGCTGCAGCGGGGGGGACAGCGCTGCCCGGAGCTCCGCGAGTCTCCGGGGCAGCCGGCAGCGCCATACGGAGTGTCCGCGCACATGTGTGCTGCGCGGGGCTCCCGGGGCGGCGCGGCCGAGGGGTCCCGCCGGGGCCGGGTAGCTGCGGCCGGCGGGGCGCGGGGCAGGGAGGCAGCGCGCTGGCTTCTTGCATCAGCCTCGCCTCCCGTCCTCGGGTCTCCTGACATTGCAAAAGGGTGTTTCGGCGGTATTTGCCTTGGGTCCCAGCTCGGGTTCGTGCCGCCGAGTGGAGTTCAAAATGCCTAGATGGAAAAACAAATAGAGATCAAAGAGGACAAAATGGATCCTGAATTTCTTCCAGATTGGGGAAAAAAAAAATTAATCAAAATACATATCTCCTGCACCGAGATTACAAAACCCTAGATTTTTCTCTTCTCTTCCTCTTCAGTCACTTTTACCTCATTGTCATTCCTGAGGGATTAGAAACCAACTCTTTCTCCTTTTCTTTCTCTTTTTAAAGAAAAAAGAAAAAGAAAAAAGAAAGGCAGCTTCCTGTGCAAACCTGTCCTATAAATCTGTTTTCTAAAGAGTCAAGAGGGCTGTGTTGCCAAGAGATATTAAGGGGTTTAGACAGAGTGCCCACGTGAAAGTGGCTGTTCGTGAGGCAGGCATGGATTACGTTTTAAAGGTTATAACAGGTTAGTTCTCTCCTGCCATTTCTTCTCGGCACTTGGAGAGAGCGTGGGCCAGATCATCTCCCACAATCATGAAAATAAACGTCGCTTGCAAACTAATCAGTTATTCACATTGTTTGTTCAGCACCGATGCTGGAAGGCAACTCCCCAATTAGGAGCCATTTCAGCTGTAACTGAAGTCATGCAAGCACTGCACGCTTTGTTTCTAGCCTGTTATATCTCTACTTTATCCAGTGACAGGCGCACATTAGGCTGTGCTCGATGGGAATTGAGGCGCAGCTCTCACTTGAGCGTGGCACAGAGCAGCTCTGTGCTGCCTGCCTGCCTGCCAGATTTGGCTTGTGGGACAATTTTTTCCGCTCTCCAAGAGTTTTTCCACAGTCACACAGGACAGGGGTTTCTTTGCCTCGCAGCTCCTCAGCAGACTTGTACAGTAGCATCTCTTCCCCAGCTATAGGTTAGACAGCTCTGTGTCGGTGTCTAGTGATAATACCCTTTAACCCTCCCCTTGTTCCTTTTCCCCTCCCCTTCCTCTTCCCCAGAAGAGGAAACGGCGGATCAGGTAGAGTCTAGTTCGGTCTGTCCTCGGGAGCTGCGTAAAAGCCTTGTGCTGCCTTTTCTCCCAGGCTGGAGGACGGTGCAGATGAGAAAATAGAGAGTATAATGGTGGGAAAAAAGGTAGGGAAAAATAGTGGGGGTTTGGGAGTAAATGTTGCAGGATTGGATGCATGAGAGATTGCTAGAAGTTCGGGTACCTGGGTGATCTGGGCAATTGCTCAGGCAGATTGACGGTGAGGTCTGCCCTTCGGTTGTGTCCTTATTTGTCCGTTGATCGTCCGGGCACCACGGTGATGGGAACGTTAGAAATACCAGCAGATCTCACGTAGGCAGCTTGACGATGACTCTGGGCATGGCAGAAGGCATGACTCTTCACGCCGGGACTAGGGTTTTGTGCTTTGATGATAATATTTATCTGTACTGTTAATCTGGCTGTCATACTGAATAAAACCTATCTAGCTAGCCAGGCGCGTTAGAGAGCATTAAATAAAAGCCTTGGCAGAGTCTGAGTTGGGAAAGCAGGGTCCAGTGTGTGTGCCGCGCAGCTTTCCTGGAAGTCAAGGAAGAGGGATGCTGGAATGAAGATGTTCCTCAGGTGGAGGTGGCAGGGGGATGACTCCTTACTGAGGGAGTTGTTATGGTCGCTCCTGCAGCAAGAGTGGGACGGTGGGAAATTATTTCATAGTTGGGTCTGGGAGGTGCTGATGCCACAGGTGTCTGCCTCCACCAGTGGCGATAGCCTTTCTGTGCAGGAGAGGGAGTGAAAGGTGCTTTTGCAGTGCTGCCCTCCCAGCTGATTGCTGAGCTGTGCTGCGCAGTCCTCATGCCCCATGGGATCAGAGAGGTTACGTTGTTGTCCCCTTCCAGTCACCCATTTCCTAAGGAGTGGGGAAGAGTTGGTCATTCCCCATCTTCCTTTGTCTGTGGGTTTTGCTGGCAGCCTGGTGACAGGTAACCCCTGACAAGGGACTGGGAGCTCTTCCCCTCCTGCACTGAACAGTGGAGGGACCCGGCTATACCAAGTGTATTGCCACAGGGAACAGGCAGTGATTAGACACTGAGGGAGGGAGAGCAAGCCTGTGACTAGACTGCTAATGATCGCACACCCACCAGGCTCCCTGCCTTTGGTGTGCCTCTGTGCCAGGCCACAATGGGGAGCCACCAGAACCTGCTTCCCCAGCCTGTAGGCAGCCTGGACGCAGTGGATCACCTTCCCCGGAGCCGTTTCCAGGCCCATGGTCTGAGGACAGGCTGGGAACAGGAGCGCTCCTTTGGGAGCAGGGGAGAGGGAAGCCCGTGCTGAGATGTGAGGGGTACACTGATTCCTGAGCAACCCCAAATCCGTTCTCCTGTCCGTTCTGTTCTGTCAGAGGTACCTCAGCTGTGCTGGCAGTTTCTGGGATTACTGACCTCTGTCTGCATGTACAATGGAGAAGGAGTGTAGTGAGTCCCGTCCCCCCCTCCTCTAAGTAGAAACCTCTGAGAATTTCTAGTGCCTAAGACGAAAAGTGCCTTAACTCCTGTCCCAGAGTCCCTCTCAAAGTGGATGGATTGTTTGTTCCAGTCCTAAACAGTTACAAAGCTCTTTTAATGAGGCTGCACAGATTAGGGGGAGGGGAAGGGAGAGAAAGAGTGCTGGTGGTGGTGGTGAGGGGGGTGATGGTTAGAGAGGAATGACTTGATTAACCTTTTCTCTCCCTTCAGAGAAAAGCTTGCTCCCTTGGGGGAGAATGGAGACAGGGAAGGTGCAGACACATGGATGGTGTGAAGTTGGTTTATTTCTTAGGGAGGATTTTACTCCACAGCAGGAATGTACATTAGCTGCGACCTGCAAAGGGCACAGAAAGAAGCTTCCTCTTTGTGAGCCCCGTTCCTGGGGTCATTTGTCCCACTCTCGAGGCCAGGCCAGGGGTTACTTCCACACTTCTGTGAAATGTTGAAAATATGTTGGAAGAAAATTGTGTTACAGAACTGTTGGGTAATGCTAAAAGCCAGCAGAGGAGAGCGTGACCTTCAGGCTCCCACCGAAGGGCACACTGGGCCTGCTTGTCCCATGGAATGTTTTTGGTTCCCCATTGCCCTGTCTGATATGTAGCAGACTGGTTTAAAGTGAGGCACAAGACTCCCCTCGCTGCTGTTCTAGTGGACGTGCTTTGAGGGCCCTAGCCACAGGTGAAAGGCACTGCTGAAAGGGCAGAAAAGTTTCTTGGAATAGCAAGCAGAGAGTGTGTTAGTGATAGTTCTGGGAAACCTCTCTAGTTTATGCTGAGAGTTCTGCTGGGAATGCTCAGAAGCTCTCTGCACACTTTGCACTGATCTCATTTCCCATCCTTGATGTGCAATCACATCCCAGGTCTAGGTGAGCGCTGGGAGACTGTTCTGGCTCCTGCTCCACTACATTGGGGCAGGGCAAGGTGCTGGCTAGGCACAGGTGAGCAGTGAAAGTGTGTGGCTTGCTTCTGCTTCTCATTACTTGTACACCATGTGTGTTTGCACCTGAGGAGGCGGTGGGCTTGGCAGCCCGCTGGGCAGCCTTGCATAGAGAATGGGTAAAAATGTCCCTCAAGGTGACTCCGAACTCATTTTGCTCAGTCTCAGGGTCGTTTTGTGTGTGAACCAAAAATCCCTCTGAGAAAAGTCTTGGGGGCATTGTGACTTGGATAAACTGACTTGGCTCGTGATCCTCTTCCTGTGCTGTAGCAGATTGAGGCTTTTCTGCCCTTGATGCGGTTTTCCTTTTACCCATAGATTGTCAGGCGCTGAGTGGCTTTGGAAGGCTGCTGCAACCTCCGCTGCCTCCATTTTGTTTGTGCTGTTGCAGTGACCTTCACACTTCAGGAATGAAACTGTTTCTAGGAACCTGCTTTTTTAAAGTGTTGTCACAGCACTGAGGTTCGGCACACAGCCCTCTCCTCCCCAGAGAAGAAATAGATCCACGCATGGGGCGGTTCAAGTCTGGGCTGGTCAGTTATGCCCAGGTACAGAAAGACTTTGGTTGAAATGAGAAGCAAGTTTGGTCAGGGGAACCTTAGGTAAAGGGAACCGTTTACAGACAGAAAGGAATGTCTGGGAGAGGGCTTTCTAGCTTGCTCTCTTGCCTTTGAAAAGCTGACACTTTGGACAGCTCGGATGCTGGTGCCGCCCTGTGCATGGGGCTGCCTAGAAGACCATAGGTGGCAGATTCCCATTGTGACCTTGGGGTGGACTTGGCCTTCTTAATTCAGTTCTGTCTTCGGCTGTGAGATCAGAGGGCCTTTTTCTAAGCCTAAACACAGCATATTGCTGACAAAGCAGCATTTGTGTGTATCACCACGCTCCTTTTGGGCCTCTGGTGAAAGGCAGCAAGTTCTAAGGTGAATGGCATCACAGGTGGCAGAGTACCTTGGGAGAAGTGAAGAATGCTGGGCATTTTTCATTTTGGTTCAGAACAGAACAGCAGGGGGAAACCTGAGGGCTGGAAAGTTACGTCAGAGGTAAAGCCCTCACGAAGAGCAGGAGGAGCGGAGTTTTTGTTTCACCTGGAATTAAAAAGGCTTCTTTAGTAAAGTGGCGTAATGCTTCTCCATACAGATCTGGCGGTGGGTTACCTGTCACCACTGCTGCCTGCGTCAGCAGGTTTGGAAATGCCCCTTGTCCCAGGAGGCAGCAGGAGTGAATGCAGAGCTTGCGGCCTTTTTGATTCCTGTCCAGGGGAAGCCACGGGGAACGCAGGAATGGGATCAAGGCAGGGGCTGGGGACCGGGACCGTTAGGTGGGAATGCGCATCACCCTCCCTTCCAGCAGAGAGGAAGGAAACCTGGGCGGTTTGGCTGCGTCTGTCGGCAAAGTGGTGCTGTCACAGTTAATCGCCCTGACACCCGGCCAGATGCCGACACCTCGGTGGCCACCACTGCTGGGCGACAGACATGTGTGACATTGAGAAGGGAGAGATGCCCTTTCACGCCTGGCCGCCCTTCTCCCCCCCTCTGCCCTCCCCGGCCGGGTTCACCTTTATGGGAGGAAGTGGTGCCCAGGCCCACCAGTCGTGTCGGCCGCAGCAGGTCACCCCTGTTACTTTTCTCCCGCGGGCTCAGATTTGCTCCTGGTGTTTGCCCTGCTCCCCGGGGACGCGTGTCTCCCTTTGGGGGCCTCTCTCGGGTCCGCCGCACCGCCTTCCCAGCCCCGTCCCCCAGCCCGCGGCCCTGCCGCCCGTGCCCCTCTCGGCTCCCCGAGGAACGGGGGGAACAAAAGGTCCCTCTGTGCCCGCCGGCGGGGGACGACTCCGCCTCGAGGGCCCACCCTCCCTCCGGGGCTCCCTCCACCCCCCCGTCGGCGGCGGAACCGGGACCCCCCGGCCCACTCCCCGGGGTCCCCCTGCGCGCCGGGACCGCGTCACGGTTCCATGTTGTGACTGATTTTGTGTTGTCTTTGCAGTTGTCGAAAGCTGCGCCTGCCCTAGGGGACGGGGAGCGGAAACCCAATGAAGGTAAGCGCTGGGCGGCTTCCCGGCGGGCGGGGGGGGGGGGGGGGGGGGGGGGGGGGGGGGGGGGGGGCGGGCGGGGGCAGGAGCCCCCAGAGCCGCTGGCGGCCAACACCGCCACCTCACGGGGAGCGGGCGCAGGGGGCAGCCGGCGGGAGGCGCCGCCGCCATCGGTCCCTTCGTGGAGGCTGCACCGCCCCGCGCCGCGGGCCCGGGCCGGACTGTGGGGCCGGGGCGGCCGCGGAGCCTGGGCGGGCAGCAGGGCTGGCCCAGCCCGCTGCTGGCTTACCACAACTCAGAGGGAAACTGCGTGCGTGCGCTAGTGCACATACGCACGCTCATTTATATATATATATACACACACACACACACACACGGGCGCACACAAAGAGCTGGGTAGCAACGAGCAGTTTGCTGGGGATTCGCCACAGTGCTGTAGGAAGGGATTTGTCATCTTGTGCTGCCTGCCTCTTTCCCGGGGGCGCTGGCGATGCCCGTCTGGGTGGCCGGGGCTGATCCCCGAACAAAGGCCAGAGCAGCGCCCCTGCGGCCCCCAGGCAGCAGGTCCCCGGGGGGAGAGAAAGAGAAAAGGGCAATCCAGGATGATTTTCTGGTCTCATGCTTCCCGACAGTCCCAGGTACACCCCTGTCAGGATATTGCTTGCTGGGTGCTGTACAGAGCCAGGTTCGAAAAATACACCCTTTTACTCCGTTTGGAGCTAGCAGGCTTTGCAGATGCAGGGGACAGCAGTGTGATCTGGTGGGTTCTACTTAATTCATTCCTGGTGGTCCAGCACAGATGGGACCACTGCCTGATAGGAAATGAGGTGGTGCCTCTGCAGCCATTGTGATTTTGTGTTTCTCCAGCTGCCCAAAGGCCAGGCTGTGGCAGTGTCCTCTGCCTCACTGGTTTGTGAAAGTAAATTTAGATCAGAAGGGCAGTCAGCCCCCTGGGGTTGGTCGGAGACACCTCCTGCAAGCGCCCTGTCGAGTGGAGCCCTGTGTGTGTCAGGTGGTTGGCTTTCTGTCCACAGTCCTCAGTTCAGCAGTGGGGTAAAAGGGCTGTGGACTTTGGAGCCTTCAGGCTGAGGTGATCATCAGCTGCTTTAGGACCATCCTGACCGTGTTTTCCCCTTACCTTGGTAGCAGAGCAGGTCACTCGTTGAATAGCAGGGTCTGGCTAGTATCTTGCAGGGTCCCCACAGGCTGTGACCTTCAGCGTTATTCCAGCTGGAGGTCAGCAGAGGGCTCCAGCAGTGTGGCTCCAGATTGGAATTTTTTTTTCTTTTTTTTCCCCCTTTGATAGCAGTCAGTTTAAATTCTGTAACTATACTGGTGTGACAGACTGCATGTGTATTGCCAGAGGTTTGTGGCAGGCTGTGTTTGCCATAGGTGTCCATTTTGCATGGGTGAAATTTCTGATTTGCTGGCAGGCTGCTGCCTGTTGCGCTTGACCCTTGCTCCTGCTGAAGTCAACAGAAGAAGGTTCAGTGCCTCCAGAGGGATCAAGATGGAGCCTGCTGTGAGGCTTATTTTGGTAACCAGTCTTCCGCTGTTGGTAGAAAAGAGCTAGTGTCCTCATCTCTGCCATTCGTTGTGTCCAACAAATCCCTCCTGGGGAGGGGAAGAATCAAGCAGAATTAACTTCTGTCATAAGAAGGCTGATGGAGTTGGTCTGGCAGTATAAATGGTGAGACTTAGGTGTTACTGTTCTTGGTGCTATTTCTGGTTCTGCAATGCAGAGATATATCTGTGAGCTAGAAGTTATGACTCCTGGCATTACCTTCTGTCCTGCTGTTTGACCTTAGAGGTCCCCTCTCTATGCCTCAGTTTCTCCTTTGTGAAGCGGAGACAATGATGGGCCTCTTAACACAAGGACAGTCGTGTAGTGCCTTCTGCTGATGCTCTTGGGGGCTTTGGGATTGGTGTGAAATGTAGTTTTATGTCTTTGGCCATTCTGTGCTTGCTCTGAGATTTCAAGCGGCGACAGGTCTTTATTTGGGATGGACTTACTCTGGTTGGAAACTGTAATTTTAGATTCAGCCCCTACCCTTTTGTGCTCAAGAGAGCCTTCCACATGTTTTGTGGCACGGGAAGTTGTAGAGGAGTCAGACAAACACTCTTTGTTCCACGAGAAAAGATTTTCTGGTATAAATAAAGGGAACCACCAGCACTTGTGGCTGAACTTTTATTTTTAAAAGAACAGCGTGTCTGTATTGCTCCTAAGCCATTGATGGGGAGGGAGGCAAAATGATCATAGACTTTCTCCTTTTCTAGTCCAACATGTTCCCACTCGACTGCTCCAAATTTGGACTGAATCCTACTTGCTGTGTCTGTGTCTGCGTTGAAGAGTTCATGTGGGCTCTGACTGGATTTTAACCTTCCTTCCCCCTCCATTCTCAATGAGGAACCTCTGACTCAAATCTGGAGGTGTTTTGCAGGGTAGGGGTGTGGGTTAATTGCAGGATTAACTTCTAACGTGGGCTGAAGCCCAAATTGCAGGAAGGGAGCAGGCCAAGTAGTGTTAGTCCTTTGGTGACCTTCCTATGCTTCCCCATGAAAGACAGACCTTCTTCCGTCCCTGACACAACTAATGGAAACGAAACACAGACTGAATCAGCCTGGCAAAGTGTGCAATATGACTCCCAGTACATAGGGCTAGAAGTGTAGGTATGGCAGCAGGGGAGGGCTTTGCTGTGGGGATAGCTATACCTCAGTCATGTGCTCCAGTTTGGTTTGGGTGCTAATTGTGCAAATGAACTATGGAGCGTTGCATGGTTTCCATGTGAATGCTCTGTGTCCAGCTAAATCAAGGCAACGCACCTTTCCTAGCAGGATTTTCTGACTGGCTGCTAGGGAATGATTCCCTGTTTCCTTTTCGGAGGCTGATTCAGACTTGGGAAAACCATCATGTGTTAAAGTAAAGGTGAAAACTCCTCGATTCTTTATGGGAAGGATTTGGTCCTGTTGTATCTCCCAGATAGTTGTATAGTATAGTTGTTGGGGTGCAGCGGTGAAAGTAAAGGCTCTGCAAAAGAAGTTGAATGTGCTGTTTTGGGGCCAGTCTGTAGTCTGGATTCTCTGGTGTAATCTGACTGCTTGGGTAATGCAAACATTTAGAAATACACGTAAGGCATGTAAGGCATTGATCAGTTTCATTTCAGCTTTCTACTCTGTTTTGGTTTCTGCCTTCTTTATGCCCCAGACTGGTGTGGTGAGGAGCATTTGATCTGCACAGGTAACTGATGCTTTCCCTCTCTCTTACCTTCCATCGCTCCCCTTGATGTAGGTCTGTAAGCGTTTTTATCCAGAACTGTGCCTTTTCTACCAGAGTTCCCAGATCCTTTCTGCTGGCACAGGGTGAATAATCAACAGTGCAATTCAGCAACTGTCATTGTGCCTGCAGAATTTCCCACATATTAAATTGTTCAACTTGTTGGAACATAGGCAGTAACTAAGGTCACTCTGAAGGGGAACAGGAAGAATGAGCTAGCCACAGACAAGATAGGAGATATACTGCAGTTAGGGGAGGAGGAAAGAGGAAGGGAAGGGACAGGGAACAGAAACATGCTGTCTTCTAGACAAGGAATACCAACAAGCAGTCCATGCCTGCCAGACTACATTTCCCTTTCATAAGCCACTTTCTCTTTTAATAGCTACTCACACTCTCTGACACTTCAAACTCCTTGGATGGAAGCTCCTCCCCTCTTGTACCCATTCTCATCACTTCAGCACTGGGGCACTGTCAGCCCTGCATGACCTAGAATTAACTTTCAACAATTAACTGCGGGCTGTGAGCTCCAAGCCCTGAAGCTTTTGCATTTTTGTGGCAAAGTAACCTTTATGCCAGTTTGTCACAAGTTCAGGGCACTTCAGAAACGCTTACTGGAGACCATTATTTTCCATGATGCAAGCAGTTTGCTCTTATCACTCTGAGTTATCAACCTTGGTGCTGTAGCACTCTGCATACTGTACAGGTGGATCATTATAGTGCTTAACAGCATGGGGCAGGTACTATCTCTTTGTGTGTACTCTTATCCTGTGCTCCATTTGAGACATCCTTCCTCGCCAGCATGCTGGTAGAGCTAGGAGGCCTGGAGGGCTCCAGGTACTCTCTGTTTGCAGTACTGCACTAGCACCTGGCTTTTGTGCGTGTGTACTTATCTATCTATCTCTCATCTCTTTAAATCTCTCCAACCCTTGACCAAGCAGCAAAATGAAGCTTTGGCAAGAGACTGGGAAACATTGAGAAATGCTTGTGAAATCTGTGCAGATCGCAAGCAGTTAGTGTTTGCTCCATTTGTAGGGAAGGCACGGGATAATGGCAGATCCACCCTGTTCCCCCTCCCACACTGTCTCATTGTGGTTCAGTAGCCAAATATATAGTCTGGTTAATCCTGGGGGTGCTGTGGGCTTGCTTTTAATCTTTCAGTGAGTGGCTTGATTCCTTGGTCTGGGAAAGTGGTCAGCGTGGAGACAGGGAGGCTGTGACTTGTAGTGGGTGCTGTTGTGGTTCAGAGGTGGCCTGCTGAGGTGCATGTTCTGCATGGGCAAAAGAGCTGACAGCAAGAGTGAAGATACATAGCTGCATGGTTCAGAACCTCTACTTGTTCTTGAAAGTGTCTCTGTGCTGAGGTCTGTACGAAGGATGCTTCTGGCTTATTCCCTTGCCTTCTAAAACCCACTGGGGCATCCACTGGCTGTTTTGAAACGGGGTAAAGGGCAAACTGGTGAAGGGCCTTAATCCAGAGTGCAGATCATCTACTGCAGTTTCAGGTGCTTTTTGGCTAATATGTTTAGTAGCAGCATGCTCGGAGTGTGGGGAATAGCAGAGAAGGGATTTAGGGAAGAGTCACCTGTGGCACGCATCAGGGGGACAAATAGTGAGGGTTTCTTGTCTATCTTGCCTCTGCCTGAAGCAGCTGTAGGAAGAGATTGTGTGTTTCTCTTCCCCACTTACGTGTGTGTGCATTTGGGGCACAGACAAAGGACTTAGGCCTGCAAGACAGTTAGTGAAAAGCACAGGGTAGTTGTGTTGCAACTGTCTGGCTCGTTTTAAGGGGCAAAGCACTAGACATTCTTGAGCTAAGTTTGCATTAACTTATTCCCTCCATTCCTCCTTTTAGTTATCAAATTCCTGGAAGTCTACGAGCGCAGCTTCTGCAGGACAATTGAGACCCTGGTGGACATTTTCCAGGAGTACCCCGATGAGGTGGAGTACATATTCAAGCCATCCTGTGTGCCTCTGATGAGATGTGCGGGTTGCTGCGGCGATGAGGGCCTAGAATGTGTCCCTGTGGATGTGTACAACGTCACGATGGAGGTGAGGGCCCAACTTGCAATCTGCCATGCTTGGTTGGAAGGAAGGAAATCAGCCATCACAGCCACCCTAAGTCCCACCTCCCAGCTAATTCAGAGGGAGGGTAGCCTACCCCAGGGAAACCCTCTCCTGACCATGGTGCCCAGTGTTACACCATGCAGGGCTAAAAGATGAGTTGCCGTGTCTTTTCAAGGCTAAGAGGAGAATCTGGTTTTGGCTCTTGCCCAAATACAGTAGCTAGGAGCATGTAAAGCAGCACTTCTGCAAAGGAGCACTTTGTGCTTAGAGAATGCACAGGAGCATTTCCTGTGATGTTGTCTCCGAGTTCCCAAAGAAGATACTCCTTGGGCCCTTGCTTCACTTTAACTCTGCATTTGGTACATACAACTGTTGTTCTGAAGGCAGCTGAGTAGTGCGAAAGGGGAGAGAACCTGTCAGTACTCTCTCCTGCAGGGCATGTGAGGTCAGTCTGTACCAGGGGTACAAGGGATTAGCTATCCTGGCACAGCAGGGGTGAAAGGGGCTCTAAGAAACACACTGCTTCAGTGTCAAGTTTAAAAGCCTTTCTGCCTCTGGGCATCGTCGTCCTTTGTTTGGAGGCTGCTGAATTCATTCCTTGGAAGAGACAGAGATGGCCATGATTGCAAAGGCTGGGCAAATGGGGAAGATGCAAACTGTTTTAGAGAGCTTTGTTACTGCCCTTTTCTGCCAGCCTGGATCCCATCTTGTGTCCAAAATGGTGCTGCTGCCCATTATCCCTAACCCACAGCTCCCTCATCTACTTTTGTTCCTCAGGCTCTTGAACAGCCACTGTAAATATTACCATCACTTTTTGATATCGATGAGAGACGTGCAGTGCTGAGTGATTAGCCAGCAGGCTCTTTTTACTTGTTATTTGAGCTCTGTTTAAACTCCACTGGAGAACTTATCTGTGCCCTTCTGTGGTTCCCCATTCTGATTTTCCCCTTGCAGGCTCCAGCCTGGGCCAGAACATACTAGCATGATGTAGCTAGGGATGGTTTTCTTCCTACCATTCCTTGATGAACTACAATGCTTGGCTGGTATGCCTGCATGCCTGTGAAAAGTCAGAGGCACTTAAGCAGACCTCTGGTGAAAATGCTAGAGTGGTCCAGACATGTTCTGGGTTGAGAGACTGTGACAATATTACGTATCTTCTAATACAGCCTCCCTGGAGGCACCTGGGATTGGGGACTGGGTAATGTCTGGCTCTGCAGGGCTCTTTTAAGTGCAGACCTTCAGATTTATTTTGTGTGTTGAGTCACTGAGAAAGTGAGATGTCATCTGGGAAGGTATGGCCTATCCATAGGGAAAAGGAGTCAGGTGTGCTTTGGCCCTGTACATTAGACTGAAGCACTGCTTCTGCGTGAGCAGCTGGATGTTCCGTTACTGCCTCTCTAGCATCAGCCAGGGATGGCTCAGTGAGAACCTTGCTATGGTGTTATGCCCTCTCCCATGCCTGTCTCCAAGGCAGTCCACCAGTGCTGGCACCTGGCAAGCATGAGCAAACAGAGCTTTGGCACGAGTCTGGTGTTGCTACTGCTTGCTTGTGATCAAAGGCCTTCCCTGACTGGGAAAATGGGGCCTCAAAGCTAGCTCAAACTCTGCCATGCTTTTCCCATGAGCACCTGGGGTGCAAATGCTTTGCTGTGCAGCAGGCTGCTTTGGAGTTGTGAATATGAAGAGTGAATGGGCAGTGACCCTCTCTGTTTCTTTCATTCCAGATCATGAGAATTAAACCCCATCAGAGTCAGCACATATCACACATGAGCTTCTTACAGCACAGTAAATGTGACTGCAGGTGAGAATGGAGCAGCACTGGTTCCTCTTGCAATAAACTTATTCTGAGCCTTTGCTTTTTTCTGCCTTTGGGTTGGGACTGTTGTTCAGAGGCTTCTTGCAGTCTCCTTGCTTGGTTTGCAGTGGGATGGCCAAGCCTGGGAAAAGAAGTCCTTTGCTGGCAGGGCTCCTCCATCTCTAGCTATCACAGGTGGACAGTGCTAGTCTGCAACCTGGGGTCTTTTGGCACTGGCTGCCAGTGAGGTGCAACAGGAGAGCAAACACTTTGAGACGGATGACTTAACCTGTGCCATGGGCATCCTGCAATGCTGGTTGTACTTGTCCTTCCCTGGACTTGCTGGGAACTGGGGATAATATTGGAACTCTATGTGGTAAGCTCTCTTCTAATGAGGTCTTTGTTCTCTCTTCCCCCACAGACCAAAGAAAGATGTCAAAAACAAACAAGAAAAGTAAGTGACAAGCCTTTCCTCCTTCCTCTTTTGGTGGTTGGTTGGTGTTTCCTTGCCCCGCTGCCCCTTGCCCTTTTCTTTGGTTGGAGATACTCACTTTGAGAAGGTGTTTTTGGAAATGGCATATGGTAGTGCATGGGGCGACACTCTGAATCCATTCCAGGTGGGCACAGAAACCCAGCTCTGATGGTCCTTCCTTCATACCCCAGACCTGGACCTTGCATGACCCATGGCCATGGCAGTCATTCCTAATGCATTATTCTAAGTCAGGGAAGTGCCGTCGTGTCTGTCCTACCAGTATGGATTCAAGGTGCAGCCCCCATTCTCCCTTCCCTCTTCCTGGGGTGTTTCTGGTTACTGCAAATCGCTGCCTTTCTTTATTATTAATTTTTTTCTTGCTGCTTGAGTGAGTACTTGCTGGCTTCTTTCACAGCAGCTTGGGTAGGAACTCTGCTGGCTACAGGGAGAGGTGGCCATAAAGGCCTGGTGGAGGCAGGACTGATGCCACGCAGGATGTGACACTGGTTTTGGTTGGGTGGGGACCCGGGAAGGTATGAAGGGAGGTGGATGTCCTTGCTGGGTCTTGTTGGAGGCTTTCATGAGGGTTTTTTGCAATCTGATGGATTTGCTCTGGTGATGTGAAGGAGGCTAAGGCACAACCTTCCCTTTACTTCTTCCCCAAAGTAAAGAAGGTTGTGGGAAGTAGAAATATAAGCTCTCATCCTGCAGTAGTCTGAGGAATGAGCACAAAATGTGAAACACTGTCGAAAAGAAGGAATGACCTCTCAGGGTGAGAGGGTCAGCTGGACTGCATATGACTGGGAAAGCAACTCTGCCATTTAGAGGTGTGGAGTTGGAACAAAAGGGGTGAATATTTGGAGACGAGGCTGAAACAGAGACAGAGGGAGCAAACAGGAGAGTGAGAGAACTTCTTTCACCCCTCTCCTGGTGGTTGTATATTTCTAGCTGCCTTCCAGCCTCTCCTCCTCCCCCTGGAAATCTGCTGCTGGCTGCACTGGGCTGAGTGCAGCCAACACTCCTCTGTGCACAGGGCTGTGTTGGGGACGGTTGGTCTGTGTGCCGCTGTGGTTTGAAGGTGTGCGAGAGTTTGATCTGTGTGAACTCCGGTGAGGATGGGGTATGGGTGTAGCAGCCAGCTCTGACTGTGTTGCATTCACTTTCCTCTTCTAACAGCACCTTGCCTGCTCTTTGCTGGTTCTGCACTCCCCAGGGAAGGACGGGAAGGGATGGGAGAGACTGGTGTACTTTGATTTGTGCTGGATTGAAAGTCGTTATATTGGTACCCCTCTCCTCCCTTCAGGTTGATTTTCCTCCCCTCACCGTCTCCCTGTGACTCCTGCCTGACATGTAGGGCAGACCCGGGATTGAGCTGATGCTCTGACACTTGCTCCAGTTAGACGACTTCAATAAGGCCTAGCAGTCACCTATGGTGCTTTCTCTTCTGCCCCCCAGTTCCCTTTGACAGCTCTCTCCCGAGGTAGGCTGCACCAGGGAACAAGGAAGCCTTTGCGGAACTGCCTCAGAGCTGGGACTCATTTGCCTGACAAGCCCTGGTGCTTTGCCTACGGCATTCTCCTTGGATGTCTCTCCATTGGTCCTGTCCTAGTGTGGCTCAAGCAGCAGCGCAGGCTCCAGCCTCCCTCGCTCCCTGTGCTCTCAGTGGCCCATAGGGATCCATGGTTAGTGTCCAGGACTGCATGTCCTAGCCCCTGCCTGTTCCAGCTCCTGCCCAAGAGTCAGAGGCAACTGGTGAATTTTTCAGAATGGAGTCAATACCTTGGCTCCATCTGCTTGTTTGTCTGGCAGACCCATGTGGAAGGTGACAGGAGGGAAAAGAGGGAAGAACTGAAAGCTGCTTGCTGGTTATCTCCTGAGTAAAATAACTAAGTCAGGCCTCCCTTTTCTCCGTCTTTCTCCTTCAGTACTCAGGATGGAGACTGCTAGAGGGGATGTTTCAGACATTTAAGTAGGGTGTCCTGGAGTCCTCTGAACCACAGGCAGGAGGTGGGGTGGATGAGCAAAGCGTTCAGGTTAGATAGCCCTCTCCCACAGAGCTCTCCCCTTGTCTGTGGGTTGCTGAGGTCAGGCTCCCATCCCAAGGCAGCATTGCCACCAGCCCTACAGCAGAACTGTTGGAGCTCAGCTGCCTCCTAGACCCAGTGCCAGGCAGTTCATCCGGTCAGAGTGGTTTCCTTTTCCCTGGAGAGAACCCTTTCACTCAGGTTGCCTCTTGCCAATCAGTGTGCACCCGTGCTTGTTGCCTGGAATGGTTGTCTGCACTCACCGCGGTTGCGTGATGCTTTTACCAAGCTTTCTATTCCTTCTCCCTCACCCCCTGTCCCTTTCCCACTGCCCCTCTCAGAGGGGGCAGGTACCCCTCTGAGTCTTCAGCAGATCCGCCTCTGCTCGCAGCAGCCCTGCTGGAGGTGGTCTCTGCTGAGTCCCCTGGTGTTGGCTTGGCTGTGGTGCTGACTGGAGCGCTGGAGGGCCAGTGAATGTGTGTGCAAGGTGGAGATCTGTGCTTCGGCCCTGGGATTTACCCTCCAATTCTGCCTCATGTGCTTCTCCCCTCCCAGCAAGGCACATGGCTGTATTTTTTTTCTCTTCTTCCTTGCGTTTTCTTCCATTTTCTCTCTCTCTCCCTTTCTTTCCCCCCTCTCTCTCTCTTTCTCTTTTTTTTTTTTTTTTTTGTTTTTCTTCCAGAAAATCAAAGCGAGGAAAGGGGAAGGGTCAAAAGAGAAAGCGCAAGAAAGGCCGGTACAAACCACTCAGCTTGTACGTTTGTGTCCTCTGCTTGTAGAGTCTTTTCCCTCCCTTTCCCAAACCAATCTGCCTGCTTGCTGCTCACTCGAATCTCACCCTCCCCTCCCAGTCACTGGTGGGCCGCAGATCCTGCAGGGGTGGCACTGGTGGTGGCACCGCTCTGGCACTAAGGCTGTCTCAGGGAAGGTGGCTTTAGCTTGCTTGGCTCTCTAATCGTCAGTGGCGACTATTTTCCCAAGGCACAAGAGTGCAGGTGGATGGGCGAGTGCCTTGCACCTCTTCACGCCTTCCAACTCACCTGCTTTCCCCCATTTGTCTTACGCCCTCACTGCTATGACGACTGGTGACAGGCAGGCTGGCATCTGCCATGCATGTGTGTGTGTACGTGTGTGCGCATGTGTGAGTGCGTGTCTGGTGGAGTCACAGGTGGAGAGGAGAGGTGGGACAGCGGGAAGCCGGAGAGGGGGTGCTGGGGAACTGGGGCGGGCACGCTCTCTGTTGTTTTTTTTTTGTTTTTTTTGTTTCTCTCTTTCTGCTGGATTTGGTGGCTTCTCTCTCCCTGTCTCTCTCACTGTCTCTTCGTTCTGCCTCTCTCATGGTGATTCACAAAATTCTGCATTGTTAATTCACGGCTCCTCTGTAGGAGACTCCTAGGTGGCAAGGTTGAGATGGGGCTTACAAAAAGGAGGGCAGTGCCAGCTGCAGGGGTAAACTGCTTTCCAGGGGAGCAGAGACCCTGTGTATTTAACTCATTTAGCCACTGGCCTCTTTCTACTCAAATAGCCCACTTCAGAGAACTTCTTTCATTGATATGTCAGTAGCTGGCTGGGACCTCTCACCTTCCCATCCTTGCTTTCCCCTTCTTCCTCCCTCTGGCCTGAGCCGATGGATCCAATGCAGCATTTGTGAATACTGTGCAGAAGGCCTGTTTCCTCTCTCTTTACGCTAATGCAAGGGGTGCTGTCCTGGGGCTGTCGGGGTGCTGCTGGAAAATCCACCAGCCTGCGACACTCCAGTGGGCAGCATGGGGGCTGCGGGAGGGGACAAGGGGATTGCTTTGATGTTTAGGGTGTTGCATGTGTATTTTCTTTCTGCTGAAGCGCTGTAGCTTAGACATCTTTCCTTTTGCCTTTTTGCAGTCACTGTGAGCCTTGCTCAGAGAGGAGAAAGCACTTGTTTGTACAAGATCCCCAGACCTGTAAATGTTCCTGCAAATTCACAGACTCACGTTGCAAGTCGAGGCAGCTTGAGTTAAACGAGCGCACTTGCAGGTTTGTGTCCTGAAGGATGAAATACACAAAGAGAAAGAGAGAGAAAGAGAAAGAGGGGGGGAGCTTGCTTCCTGCTGACTTCTGGCACCAGCGCTATATGGTTACTTCTTTTCTCTGTCCTACGTGGGCCAGAGGGCAGAGGGGCTAACTGGGATGAGGACAGATTTTCCCTGGTTCCGAGGGCAGCTGTGCATTTCAGATGTGCTGTTAGGACTTGGATGGGGATGGCTCCCAGAGACAAGGCATTTCTGTCTTAGGTATCCTGTATAGTAGAACACAATAATGCAGTTCATGTTGCTGAGGTAGCCAGGGGAGGATCTGTAGCCCTCTGTACATTATCTGTATGCAACTCTGAGCATACTGTTGGACAAAGACAAACCCTTAACTTACTAGGATTTAATCACCCCTGTCTTCCAAGCCCTTTTTCTGCGGCTTGTAGGTGAGATGCCTACATTTTCCTTTGCCTCTTTGTTCTTCTAAAATACAGGGAAGACCACCCTGTCCTCTTGCACTGTGCTCACAGTTCCCTGTCCATGTCCTAGGTCCAGAGCTGTGGTTTGAGGGGCAGCATTCAGATCTGTGACATGGGATACAGCAGGATTAAGTCTGTCTGTGGATGAAGGCAGAGATGGGCATTCAGGTGTGAGGTGGGAAACGCAAAAGCACTGTGGGGTTGGTGTTTTTTGAAGAGATCCATGCTGTGCATGTGTCATCTGAGGGCTGTCACACACCGTCTGTGGCATAGACACGTGCAGAAACTGATTCTTATTTCCCACCTGAGCAGTTTGGTGAACTTGGTGAGGTATCTTGACTCGCACGAGGTGTGTGTGCACCTCTGGTGTAGGATCATCCAACCTGTCTAGAGAGAGACATAGAAATGGGGTTGCTGATGAGCCCTTGGCTCTGACTCTGAACTCAGATCCTTTCCACAGAGATCTAGGAGATGAAAATGCTTTGTGCCCAAAGCAGAGAGGTGTTGGCACTGCCAGGGTGGTGGAAACTGCTCTTTATACAGAGAATTTTCTGGGGTGCTTTGATTTCAGTGGGAAAGTAATTGATGGAGGGACCAGAATAGAGCAACTTACGGAGTTAAACTTCCCCTAGTGAACAAAACCCCTGAAGCCTGAGACCTTTGACCTTTTTCCCCCTGCTGCTGTCCCAAAGCCCAGAATAACTGAAAATTACCCCACAAAGTTTGAAGGGTGAGAAATAGTAACAAATACAAAGAAAAACCAAATAATGCCCCAAAGAAGTCAGGATGGCCGAAGGGGTTTACTAATTTCACTGTGATGGGATAATTGGCACTAAGGGAGGGGTTGGTGTGTTGGCCAGAAAAATAGGAAGGAGTCACAGGAGAGGTTAGCTTATCAATTTCTGAATAAAAAGCTGATTAAGCTGAAGTTCCTTGTGTTCTTTCTAAGATTTAGAATTGGACCCAATGGGGGAGGGCAAATTTTTATTTCTCCTGCTGCTTCTTCAGGCTGCTGCTGTTCTCTGCTGCTAACCCCTGCTCGTGGCAGCTAGTGGAATGAAAGGCACTTACTTTTCACTTTCTTGCCTGCATGAGGCCTTGTTGTCTGTGTTGCTTCCGACCCAAACAAGAGGCTAGGTGGAGAGCTGAGGGGTTGTGTCCTTCTGCATGCATTGCTTAGCCTTGTTTTGCTGTGTGTTTGTGTGTATTTGTGCACGGTGTGAAAGGGTGCAAACAAAACACTCAGCTCATCTGTGAGGAAGCCACTGATTCTGCTGCTAAATTTACCCCTGTACGAGTATCTCCCCCCACTCTATGTAGGTGAGCCTGGGGGAGTAGAATTCATCGACTGATTCGTGGGACTGAGATTCTCAGCTGATTTGCCCCATCTGCACAGCATTTCACCCCACCAGTGACATCATGCCATGTCTTAACACCATGTGCTCTTAAACACATTAGCCACCACCTTCCTCCCCTTCCCTGTCCTATTTGTACCCTCATCACAAACATTAACCCTGTTCTCCTTTTTTTCCTTCCCTCTCCTGATAGATGTGAAAAACCGAGACGGTGAGCAGCCGAAAAGAAGGGGGAACAGCCCTGTTTCTGGAGCCTGATTTCTCGCCTGGACAGAAAAAAAACAAAACAAAACACTAATCCAAATGAACCCTAAAAATGAAGGATCGGTAGAGCACAGCACTTTCAGTACGGACGATGGACTCCGGAAGGAACATTCCCCAAGGCACCCGCCGCACAGAATTCACCTTTGGGTTTTGAACTGTTTTATTTTATTTTTCTTTTCATGCTGCTAAATAACAGAGCCAGGAAGACTTATAGGGGTGTATCTGATGGGTTTTCCCATGCATACATATATATGTGTGTATACATGCATATACATATATATATATGTATATATATTTTAACCACATCTATATATACATATATGTATATCTTAACCACACACACACACACATATATATATAATATATATATATACTGATTATTTTTTTTAACATTGCTAATGTTATTGGTGTCTTCACTGGATAATACTCGACTGCTGTGGACACAAGCGGGCTACTTGGGGCATAAGAAACAAGCTAAGACTGGACTGAGTAGAAGCGCTGGGTGTAAACTTCTTAACTCTAACTGACTTGTGCGGCCTCCGCTGTTTCTCTGTAGAGTGTGCTGTACCACAAACCACCTTCTCCTTGCCTGGGACAGGGAGGAGAGGTAATGGAGAGGATGGGCAGGGAGTTCCAAAGAGCGGCATCCTAGGGTGCGATGGGTCAAAGGCCAAGGAAATGGCCGTCTCCGTGATCAAGGATTCCTCCTCCCCTCTTTTCCCCCAACCTTCGCCCTTACTCGTCTCATAACCTGCCTGCCTTGCTAGGACATGGGATGTCAGTGTACATTTTGCGTTGACTTTATTCGCTATAGAAACTTTGCCAGAGAGACATGCTGTCTTCTCTTAAGGATGGTGGGCAGCTGATGCGCACTAACTTTCCATTCAAGGAAGTATCACAGGAGTCTAGATTTCCCGCCCTTGGTGGCTGCAAAAGGACACAAGGTCTACAGTGTGCTGAAGCAAGAATGGGGACCGGTGCATAGCCACACAGTTGTTCAGCACTGTCTGCTTTCTTCATGCACAGAGCTGCCACTCAAGAGCATCCAAGATGCTTACGGAACATTTCTGGAAAGGGATATTAATCAAAAGTATATACACAGTAGGGGTGTGTGTATGTGTGTATATATGTGAAAGTATGCATTTGTGTCTGTGTGTATGTATGTATGTATGTATGTGTTTTTCTCTCTTTTTTATATATATATATTTATTTTTATACATATATATATATAAAAAAATAATATATTTGTATGCCAAGATTGAAGGGGGAAAAAAGAAAGCAACTTTTGCTGCCTTCAGTTTGTATGCCCTGTGTGAATGACCCTCAAGAACATCAAGACTTTTTTTTTATGACATACTGTAAATATCAGGTCCCTTTCCCATGTCTTGAGCTGGGGAATCAAATGTGAAGGCAGCCAGAGTCCCTTAGCCATGTCACGAGAATCTTGGCTATGTGTGTATCGGCATTATACGCTGTGGTGTATGTGAAACCCACCTTACACACGCGCGCACACACACACACACACACCCCTGAAAGTGTGTTTGTACATCTATGTGGATATATATAATCTAGTTCTGTGATTAAAATTATTATTAATAATAATAATCATCAAAAAGGTACTCGGTCTGTGTCAGAATGCTGCCAAACATCATCTGCAATTGAATTTTCAACGCCTGATAATGTACAACACGGAAAGCTTCCAAAAAGACAAGACAGTCTAAAAACAGACTCACAACAAGCGACTACTAACCACTAGGATCTCCCCATCCAACTGATGGCTTTCAGAAGGAGAGAAAACACATGGGTGGGTGCTTGCATCTGCAATGTATAATACTCGTGCTGCATCATGCGCAAGACAGAGGCTTCCGATCGGGGGGAGGGAAGAGAAAGTGTTTTATATACTTATTTAATATC